TGGACTCGGGTTTGTTTTTTGGTATCATAAAATTACTGATTAATAGAAACCAATTTCTTCATTTCCTTCTAAAGTATAACAATTAAAAATTAAACATGAAACTGGAGACATCATCATAATGATTACTCAGTGATTCGGTAAACTACTGAACTTCAACATTAGGGTTACTAATGTTTCTTCCATCTATTTGATACCTCTAATATTAATTTTTTTTGGTTCGCAGAGGAAGGAAAGGACGAAGCGTATGTATGTTGAAAGAGTTGAAAGATTTAGTTGGCTGAATGATAAGTCAGTTAGTTGGCTGCATAAGAGATCACTTTTTTTTCGATGTAAACTCATGTGAATTAGAACGATGTTCAGAACCACCTGGTGTTTTTTCCCGAGTACTTGACAGTGCTTATAATTCGCAGAATTTGGTTTACGACTGTTTAATAAATTGATGTTCGATTTTTTGTTTAGTTTATTGCCGATAATAAGGGGCCAGAAGGAGAAGTAGAACGGGAGTAAAGAGAAAGGATAAATTCATCCTAAATCCAAAGTTGTTTGGGCTATTTTTAACTGATTTCAACTTAAGAAAATTCAATACTTGTGTAGAACTTAGTTGATACACTTCAAACTTACTTATTTGTAAAAATTATTTGTAGTTAAGTGCTGCTTCAACAAAACTCTTCGCTATTGTACCTATGGTACAGGAGACGACAACACTCTAATAACACCGTTGACTAAATGTCTGTTCAAATGTTTAGTGCAATGATACATCTCAAATCATATCTTCGTTGTTTAATTAATAAACATAACAAAAGGTATATTATTGTTGTTGAATAACCCAAATATCTGTGTTCATCCAATAGCAATTAATAGCATTTAGTAATTAATTATTTTTAGTATCAATTTCAACAACAATTTTTTTTTTGAACACTATCATTAGAAGATATGTGGGTGAAGAAATTTCAAAACCTACGCAGCCCATAACCATCCGGTTTTGGTCTAATTTTTGATACAAATTTTGACAACAAATATCACTATAAAGTATACTC